CCTGGAGATCTGAAGCTTACGTTGACATGTAGGCAACAGTTCAACGTTTACAAGAATTGTGTGGTATACATGAAATGTAGTCATATCAAAAGAACGACTTCAACGCGAATGTATCAATCACTTCAACATGTATTATTCACTGCTTCTTAACTGTAAAAAAAAACGCATATATCTAATGGATCAACTTCTTCTGATTACGGGGCCATCTCAACGTCGGCATCAGGGTTCGAGACGTCGAACGAGAGCTTGCCGCTGGTCTCGGCGATTTCCACGTGGCTCTTGGCATGGAGCTGGCCGGAGATAATGAGCTTGCTCAGGTCCGTCACGATATGCTTCTCGATGTATCGCTTGATGGGACGCGCGCCGTACTGCGGTTCATACGACTCGTCCAGGATCACGTCCAGCGCTGGCGTCGTCACGTTCACCGAGATCTGTGACTCCTTCAGGCGGTTGATGACCGACTCGAACTGCAGCATCACGATCTGGCGCAGTTCCTTGCGACCCAGAGGCTCGAACACGACAATGTCGTCCAGACGGTTCAGCAGCTCTGGACGAACAGTGAGACGCAGCTGCTGCAGTACCAACTCGCGCTGCTTGGCGAACGCGCGCTTGGCCTCGCTCTCGGTATCAACAAAGTCGTTCTCCGTCTTGATCTTCTTGCTGGCACGCGGCGATAACCCGTTCTCAAAGAGCAAATGCTCTGCGCCAATGTTGGACGTCATGATGATCACCGTGTTGGCGAAGTCAACTGTGCGTCCGTGCGAGTCCGTGAGACGGCCATCGTCCAGCACTTGCAGTAGAATGTTCAGCACCTTCGGATGGGCCTTCTCGATCTCGTCCAACAGGACCACATTGTACGGGTTACGACGCACAGCTTCTGTTAGCTGGCCACTTTCCTGGTACCCGACGAATCCTGGGGGTGCGCCGATGAGTCTGGAGACGGTGTGCTCCTCCATATACTCGCTCATGTCGATACGCACCATGTGCTTGTCGTCGTCGAAGAGTTCATACGCGAGAGCCTTCGCCAACTCGGTCTTACCAACACCCGTTGGTCCCAGGAACAGGAAGCTGCCCGTTGGTTGTCCAGAACGAGCGAGTCCTGCACGCGAACGAAGCACTGCATCGCACACCGCCTTCACTGCTTCGTCTTGACCGACCACACGCTTGTGGATACGCTCCTCCAGATGCATGAGACGGTCACCCATACTCGACGTCAGACGAGAGACTGGGATTCCCGTCCAACGAGCCACCACCTCGCAGATCTGATCTTCGCGCACGACCTCCTCGACCATCTTGTGCTGCATCTCGTCTTCATCCTCGCGCTTCTTCGCTTCCTCTGCAGCGGCGATACGGCGCTTGACATCAGGGATCGCATAGTACTGTAGATCAGAAGCGGTCTGTAGATCCTGGTTACGTTCGGCCTGCTCAGCTTTCAACTGCAAGTGCTGCAGCTTCTCACGCAGCTGACGGATCTCGTTCACACGAGCTTTCTCCGCCTCGTGGCGGAGGATCAGAGGACTGAGCTCGTCCTGGATCTTGTTCAGCTCTTCTTGCACCTTTTTCAGACGCTCCTTACTCAGCGCATCCTTCTCCTTCGCCAGAGCAGTAGCCTCGACCTGAAGCTGCAGCTGTCGACGCTCCAGTTCATCAATCACCTCTGGCTGGCTGTCCAACTGAACACGAACATTCGCACACGCTTCATCGATGATATCGATGGCCTTGTCGGGCATGAAGCGCTCCTTGATGTAGCGGTCGGCGAGCTTGGCAGCAGCCACCAAAGATGCGTCCATGATCTGAACACCGTGGTGCGACTCGTACCGCTCCTTCAGGCCTCGCAGAATACTCACCGTGTCCGTGACTGACGGTTCCTTCACCATAACCTGCTGAAAACGACGTTCGAACGCTTTGTCCTTCTCCACGTGCTCGCGATATTCGTCCAGCGTTGTAGCACCAATGCACCGCAGCTCTCCTCGTGCTAGCATGGGCTTCAACAGGTTCGCAGCATCCATAGCTCCTGAGGTTTGTCCAGCACCGAGGATCAGATGCATCTCGTCGATGAACAGGATGATCTTGCCGTCGCTGTCCTTCACTTCCTTCAGCACAGCCTTCAGACGCTCCTCAAACTCGCCTCGGTACTTCGCGCCAGCAATCAGAGCGCCCATATCCAAACTGATGAGCTTGCAGTTGAGCGACTCAGGCACATCGCCCACCACGATACGACGTGCTAGTCCTTCCACGATTGCAGTCTTACCCACACCGGGCTCACCGATCAGCACCGGATTGTTCTTGGTTCGTCGCGATAGAATGCGGATCACGCGTCGAATCTCCTCGTCTCGGCCGATCACAGGGTCGATCTTACCAGCCTCAGCCAGCTCGATCAAGTTCTGCCCGTATTTGTTGAGTGCGTCATAGTTTTCCTCTGCAGCGGCACTGGTAACAGGTCGTCCGCCTCGGATCTTCTGTACTGCATCCTTGACTTGGTTCTCATCCATCTGGTTGCTCTTGAGCAGACTAGCGACCTGTGAGTTGTTGTACAGCGCCATCACAAGGTGATCAGCCGCCAGGTGCGAGTCCTTCATGTCCTTCCGCATCTTGTGCGCGTACTTGAGCATCTTCATAAGCGCCGAGTCGGCACCGACGGAATCGGGTGCGGGAGTCTGCTTTGGTTGCTTCTTGAGCTGCAACATCACGTCCTGCTTGAAGCCAGCCACGTTGCCGTGTACTAGCTCAGCCACGCGCTTGGCCGTGCCGTTATTGTCGTCGAACAGCGCGTAGGCCACGTGCAACGGTGTGAGCTGCGAGTGGCCGAACTCCTCGGCCATGTCCTGTGCATTGCGCAGGTACTCGTTGGTCTTGTCCGTGAACTCTGCCGGATTCATCTTTTTGTGTGTAGATGCTTGTGTGTATCACTTGTGCACTTTAAAGCAAATTCAATTCTGATGCGATTGGAGCACGGCAATGCATGATGCCCGCATCATGGGTGACGTTTTCGCGGCGTGTCTAGACAATGCTCGAACTTTCGATCGGACTTAATCGAAACCAATACTGAATTCAAGTTAAAATGGATGAGACACGGACGGGTCACACGATTGGCCACACCACTTCAACGTGGCCAATAGTGAAAATGTATCGAGAACAGTCGAGCATTTTCCAGCGTGCCGTCCTTGGACATGCTAACAATATCTCGGGCCGCGTAGATGTCTTAGGGTATGCGTTACTACTTGTTGCGCTGTGTTCAGCATGGCGCTGCGCAGCTCAACGGAGATGTTTGATGAGGCCCGCCGCATCGGCCAGCAGCTCCAGGTCGATTTCGATCGCTACGACCGCCGACAGGAGATTTTTCGTAAGAAGTTTGCCGCGGAGACGCGCAAGCAGCACCAAGGAATCTGCGATGGCGCCGTCACGAACAGCGCGATCTCTTCCAGTGTTGCCGCGCTGTTGTTCTCGCAGCATGATGAAAATTCTCAAGAGAAAGACGACGATGATATCAATAGCCGCAGCAATAGCAGACGCTCACGCGGTTCGATCAATGCAGGCACTGCGAGGCGGGGAGTTACCACCGACAAGGACAAGCACCCTGACGTATTTCGTGCTCTTTCGAGCTTCTACAACCCTCCAGACGCGGCGACTGATGTGGTGTGCGAGCTATGCTTCGGCTTTCGAAGCGCCACGATGGTCCAGCCCTTGCCAACACCCTGGATAGAGTACTGTGATGAAACAACGGGGAAGCACTACTTCTACGACTCAAGCACGCGACAAGTCCGATGGCACCCGCCACCAGCTACCGATGCGCTTAGTGTGCTGGTGTTTGAGCGTACTAACTCGATTTACACGGTCTGCCACTGCATTCCATCCAACGAGCGACGGCGACGGCTCATGCAGAAGTTCCGGGAACACGCAATGCAAATGGCAAGAGAAGAGGTCGAAAAGCGCGACCGTCATCTCCGTGGCGCCTTCATTTCCCTGGCCATGTCACTAGTTCCATTCTCCGGAGAGCCAAAACAGCAATAATATAGTCTAGTACAGGACAACAAGCAGACAAAGGATGGTTCGAATCATCACCGATTACCGGTACATGTCAGGCAGTCTCCTTGCCTACGTGCGTCTAAAGTACTTGTGCATGTTGCCGTCTAGGAAGTTGTGGAACTGCTTGCGCTCGTCGCAGGAGAACCACAGGCTCAACACATACCGTGTACCCGTCTCCACCTTGCGCACTACGTGCAAGTTCTCTGCTCCAGCTGTGAACATCATGAGGCGGCCACGAGCAGGCTCGACAACGGTTTCCGAGTTTTCGTCGATGAACGAGAAGAGTCCACCAGTGAACTCCTCGCCGTAGTCCGCGAGGTACAAAAGCCCCGAGTAGTCGTAGTGCTTCGTGTTCTCCTTGTCCACGTGCGGGTGCCTGCAAAGTAGCGATACATATTAGAATTTGTGGTTACCACTAGAGCAATTCACAGCAAGGCGTACCAGTACTCGTCGTGGATCTCTGAGGGAGTCCACGAGTCGTTGCCAATCAAGCGAGTCATGAACGTAGGCGCCGAGAAATACAGCTCTTCAAGACCGAACTCCTTCATCACGGCCAAGCGGATCTTCTCCACAACGCTGAAAGTAACAAAGCACCAGTTAGTTGATGCCAAAGCATGTTGGCGTTGACGATGATACCTACCCACGGTACAGGCTGAACTGCTTCTTGCTGAAGCGTTTTACACCCGGTTTGTCTTCGTTGGGGATTCTCTGCTCAGGCTGATAGATGTTGACCAGTCCCTCGCTGTCGCGGACGAAGCCCGTGTTGATGTCCATGATAGTTGGGCCGCCGAGCTTCGAGCGATTCTGCATACCGATCTCAGCGATCTCGCGCAGCTGCGTCACTTGCTTGGGCATCACGAAGTTGTCGATCAGAGCACGGCCGCACATGGTCTCGTTCTCCTGGTGGCAGCCCGGCACGAACAGGTCCGATTTCTGGAGCAGCAGGCAAAAACTGTCAACTCATTCCTGCTATCAGCCCAGTAACAAAGCTGCAACGAACCTTCATTGGCGCACATGTGACGTTAAAGCGTCGGTGCTCCGTCACATCAGTGCGGGCGATGTAGTGGGCAGCGCGCACGATCTCCACGTCCAGTTGGCGCAGGAAGTACGTCACGCCCACAGCCGCCACCACTGCAATGATCTTGAGCACCCATCCGAACGTGCCGGTGGTGGGGGCAGCGGGCTCCTCCTGCTTCTTGACTTCAGTATTGGCGTCCACGACCTGCTTTGTCGTGGCAGGCTTCTTGACGGTTTTCGCGTTCTTGCGCGCCATCGGGATGATGATGAAGTGTGGACTGTGGAGACCCGCAAAACGAGACAAGTGGCTAGAAGGGGAATATTCGGTTGATACAAGGGTGGGATTTGCAATTTGAAGGATTGGGATTTGGCTTCATCTGTGCCAAAAGATGAGTACACGGACGACGGAGGTGAAGGCGGCGGAAGCGCGACTTGCGCTGCATCGTGACGATGCGGTGCATGCTAAGGCTCAGTTGGCGGAGTCTCTGGATGCTCTAAAGGCGGCGCAGAGCCGACTGCTGGTGAAGAGGCTGGACGAGGCGATTGAGGAGCAGCGCAACGTCGAGCAGGAGGCCCTCGCGTACTCGAAGAATGTCAACAGGCTGTACCAGCGCGCGGCCAAGTGGAAAGCTGAGCAGAAACGCTTTCGGTCGAGTCTAGAAGTAAGTGCAGCTATGTAAGTGATACTGATCGTGCATTGCATTGGCTGATACAAGACGCTGCTGATGTGTTGCAGGGGATGGATCGGTTTGTGGAGTGGGCAGCAGCTACGGAGAACGATTTACACGCTATTGCTGGGAATTTAGAGTACGTTTGGTCAGTGCTGGAGAAGGAACAAGAAGCTACAGCCAACGGCGGATACGCGCGGGCGCAAGAGTCCACCTGAACTGGTAGAAACTATCTTGAAGCTGTCATTCACTGCACTGCTTCGATCGAGCATTGGGGCGGAGTTAATTAATGAAATACGATGCTGCTGGTTACTTCGCAGAAACGTGACCTAGAACGTGATGAGGCAGAGAATGACGAGACTACCGACGATCAAAAGAAAGCGGGACAGGAAGGCCTGCTGCATCTGCTGGCGCGCTTCCTGCGCGGTCAGTGGTGTTCCATCTTGGTGGTGCATGGCAGCGGCCGGTGGTTGCTAAAATATTAACGGGGTCGATTGTCAGCAACATATCAAACGTTGGCAGTAAATGACTAAGAGATAATAGCGGGAATACACGTACGTATGGCACGCCGAAGAGGGCAGGAAAGAACCCAATTGTTGGCGACATGGAGAACGCATTACCTTGCCCGTTCCCGTTGAAGATGCCAAACTGCGATCACAACAATAACGCGCACTACTTCGTCATTACAACCAGCACAGTTCTTCATGACAGGAATTTATCACACATTGTATGGACGTCGTCGCCGGAGCTGCTCGGCATCAGGACGCTGTCCTCGAGGACGGTGAGGGATACCGCTGTCGGACACCTGCTGTGTCCTGCATCGACCACGAATAATTAGCTTAGGATTCTTCATACGCATGTCAATACAGGTGGTAATTCGCAAAACGCACCGTGGGTCGGTAGCATCAGCTCCTCTAGCATACACCGGGATCACGTTCTGCTCACTGACTCCAGCCTTGCACACGGGACACTCAGAGTGGTTTTGCATCCACTGCACACAGCCGGTTAAGTCAATTGAGCTCTACTACGATATCAAGCGTAGTTCGTCGTATTATTATAGGTATACCTGGTACAAACACGGCCAACTGTGAAGCAACAGACAGAATGCCGAGCGTCAGGGGTAAGATGGGCCGAAGATGTAAGCCATCAAGCTACAGACGTGGAACTCACCAATAGAGATGACCACACAGTGTCACCACGGGGCTGGAAACCGTGTCTAGGCATATATTGCACTCGAAGATAGGCTTCCCGTTGTCCAAAGGCTCCGTTGCTGTCGCGTCCGCTGATGCTCTCGGCTCCATTTTCAAAGTGTTTGTCAAATTCCTTTATTCCAATTTTTAGAAAATTTCAGGTTTATAGCTTCATATTTACGAAAACCACGTTGAAGTCCTCTGCAGCCCCCAAAAGCTACGAGTCCTGCTGCGTTGATGACTTATCTTGCAGCGAGCCAATGGAACAACTGCGGAGTCGAATTTCCGCATCGCTCTTCACTACCATCAGCTTGTGATTGTTCGGGGAAATCCTCAAAACTAGCGGTGCCGGGTTTGAGGCGGCAGCATGCAACGGCGTAGTCAACGCGGGCGGTGCTGGGTCAGCTGACAACGTCGAGGAGGGGATCTGCACGCCCAACGGAGACAATTCCTGATGGTCACTCTCCAGTGTGAGCGTACTAGTTTTAGCAGCTGGGTTGCTAATGAAAGAGTCCACTGCAACAGCAAGCGCGGACAAGTTCGTCGCGTTCGCAGCACCGTCAGCCGTTGTCGTCAGGAGCTGAGTGAGAGATTCACTGTTCTGACCAAGAGGCGTTGACGATGGGTCAGTAGCACCCTTAGGAACTGTGTACCTCTTCATTCGCTTCAACTTACCATTGGCATCCGGGTCCTCCAGCACAGCGCGCTGCTTCTCCCTGAGCTCTTCGATCTGGGTCGCGTACCGGGCCTTGTCGATTGGGTTGGTCGACATGGCTTCCACTTGCTCCAACATTTGAATCGTGCGGTTCAGTGACCGGATCTGTCGGTGCGGCCAGCGCTTGATGCCACAGCGGCGGCAGATCTTCTTTAGGAAAGTGGTGCAGATACCGAACTCGCGCGCCACTTCCACGATAGGTCGGCCGAAGTGAGGCCGCAGCTCCTCTAGCGTGAGCTCACGCGACAGCGCAGTCAGGCGCGCGCCGCGCTGGTGGAGCTTCTTGTGTGCAGCTATACGAGGCAAAGATAGTTCGTCCGATGCCTGCTTGGCCACCACCTTCATCAGTGATTCGTGCAGTGAGTCCCTAGTCGCAGGAGCCGAGTCGTGGCCTTTCGCAACTGCGTCGGTCGCTGGGCTCTCTGCTGGCTGCATCATATGCAGCAGCGAGATACTGGCCTCCACCTCTTTGTCCGATATGGCGGGGGTCGTCATTGCAGGGCTGGGGTGTGGCGGTAGCGCTCTACGATGGAGGATCTATGGCGCAGGAGCGGCGCTGACGCTGCTTGTCAAACTGAACTTCGAGTCGAAGTTCGACACCTTTCGATATGTGATAAGGGAGGTTTTGGTCCGGTTGATAGTACAAGTGTCCAGTTAATTTTCTTAAACTATATTATAGAGGTTTACTCAGATGAACTTGTGCAGATGAACGAACTCAATGCCAACGCTCACTTGTCCAACCTCACGTGTAAATAATCGTTAAATAGGAAATTGCCTTTACTTAACAACTATGCGTCTGCGGCAGCCGAAGCAGCGTCATCTTCATCCTCCTCCCGAGCCTTCCGCATGAGCTTGGCGAGTCGACGCTGCGCTGCTAATTGGTGCGAGTACTCCACCATGAATCGGTTGGACCCCACGCCGAACACGTCGCCGTGCAAAAGGTAGCGTCGACGACTCTTCTTGCCACTGGCGCTGAGGCGCATCGCTGTGCCATTCGTACTGTGGAGGTCCGTGATGTAAAAGCCGTTGCCAAAGTACGAGATGACGCTATGTCTGCCCGAGATCGAGTCGTCCTCCGTGATGCACAGCGCGTTGCTCGAGTGCCGACCCAGTGTCACGGAAGTCTTGCCAATGGTCTGACAGATTCCAGTAAGAGGACCATCGGTGAAGCGGATGCGCAAGAACGGCATGCCCGTCGTGATGTTTTCATCGATCGCCGACACTTCAAATTCCGTGTCACCCAACTTCACGCGGTCGTCCACATGCAGACGCTTTGGTGCGTCCGGCTTGAGGAATACGAATGTTCCTGTCGTGCTGCCGAGGTCCTGGAGATAGTACTCCTTCTCCATAGGGTCATACTGGATCTGGAAGTGGATCCGGCTCACGTACGGATCGTCCGAGATGATCTGGTTGCTCTCGTGTCGTCCACCCCGGGCGCCTTCTCGCGGATGAAGCACGATTTTGCCGCCCAGGTCACCTTTACTATTGGAGCGAGCGATCTTGCCTTCGCCTTTGTCCTCAGTCATGCGGCGAATGTGGCCATCTCCGTTGCTACTGCCAATGGCGGCACTGCGGGATTGCCTCTCCATGCTGGAAAGGAGTCGTGGCTCCGGAGACAACGACGATACGATCAGCAGGTCGTTTTCGTCAATTTCTAAATCGCTCTCGGTGCGGTTCTTTGATCGGTGGTGGTGGTGGTGGTGGTGCTTGTCGTGGAGTGAAGTAGGCCGGGACTTAGTGTGTTTGCGTCGCCAATCGCGCACTCTTTCCATGTAGATACCGAGACGCTTGGTGACGCGGCGCAGTGGTGAATGCAGGTGATAGCGGCGCGAAACCACGAGTGTACTGATCCAAACAGCGAGCGATAGTATCACCAGCATCCAACGCAGTCTGGAGGCCATATCTGACAACAGGAGATGCAGTCCATCGAGCTGATCGCTTCCGATGGTAGCGACCGTAGCCAGGCTATAGAGAAGTTCGTCATTCACGTGTTGCGCGTCGATACTCTTGAAATAGAGCGTGAGTTGGCTGTGCATGTAAGCTACGGACGCCACGATGACCGATGAGTAGGCCGTGGCGTGCAGCCAGCTCCAATGCATCATGGACTGCGCGTGGCGGCGTGAGCTGCGACTCCGGTATCGCGACGAAGTCATCTTCTTCTCCATCTCTCTGGCGAGGTCAACTTCGGTCACTGGCGTCAGGAAGCGTAGATTTTAACGCCCTTCCTTCGCGCCTGCAATTCAGTTCTGCCCTGCGGTACGGTGCCGTAGCAGCTCCTGGTGACACTGCCCGCACGATCGAGCAGACGCGCTCAAGGAGAAAAACACTTGGAGGTCGCAGCAGCGCTGTATGTTGCGCGAAACGATTTTCTGGCAACGCGATGTCACCACAGCCCTGGCTTTACTCTTTTATGTTCTGAACACCATGTGCAACCTACGTGGCAGATCGCATTCACTCTTATCAAGTCCGCATCCAACATGATGCTTCTTCCGCCACATGCGCCGTCGCCGCTCATGCTCTTCCTGTTGCCGCTGCTAGTACTCCTGTCCACAGTCGTCATATTTGTCTTCAATAAACGTCGCGCCTTCATCCAGTCCCGTAACGCTTCGCTGAAGGCTCCCCCTAAGACCGCCACCATCGGCATCTTCCACCCATACGCTAATGGCGGTGGAGGTGGCGAGCGTGTGCTGTACTGCGCGCTACTGGCGATTGTGAAACGCTATCAGAAGATGGACACCGATCTACGCATCGTGCTGTATGCTGGAGATGACGGACTCTCGGCCTCGGAGCTGGTAACCAGGGCCGCTGAAGAGTTCAACCTGCCGGAGCTCAAGACGTTGCACGTGAAGCGCCACGTGACGCTCGTACCGCTGCCCAGCCGTGAAATCCTTGAGCCCAGTCGCTACCCAAGTTTCACGCTATTGTGGCAGAGCGTGGCGCATATCCGCTTGGCGTTGGAGGCCGTGGAACAGAGCTCTAAGCAGGACCTTTATCCGCAGGTTTGGGTGGACACTACCGGCTGTCCGTTCTCCTACGTGGCAGCAAGTCTGCTCTATGCGTGTACAGTAGTGGCTTACGTACACTACCCGATGATCTCCACTGACATGATCTCCAAGATCCAGCAGCGTGACTCGGGATTCAACAATGACGCGGCCATCGCTGCGAGCTCGTCGAGATCTACGGCCAAGTACATTTACTACCGCCTCTTTGCCGGAGTTTACAGCTTGGTAGGTAAGTACTGCACGGACGTGGCCATGGTCAATTCCACCTGGACGTACAACCATATCAAGCAGCTCTGGGGTAAGGCCCCTACGATCGTGTATCCGCCCTGTGGAGCCATGCGCGAGTACATGAACTTTAGTCTGGAAGATCGCGAACCAATTGCACTCTCAGTGTCTCAGTTTCGACCGGAGAAGAACCAGTTATTGCAACTGCAGTCGTTTCAGGTGCTGCTGACGAAGTATGCGGAGCAAATGAGGACCAAGTTCAGCGACTTCCGGCTGGTGTTGCTTGGAAGCTGCCGCAATGCAGACGACGAAAATCGTGTGGAGACTCTGAAGAAGCAGGCGAAAGAATTGGGCATTGCGGAGCGTGTGGACTTTGTGGTGAATGCGAGCTTCTCTGAGCTGAAGCGATACCTCGCCACGAGTTCCATTGGTGTACACACCATGTACAACGAGCACTTTGGGATTAGCAACGTGGAGATGATGGCTGCAGGCATGCTTGTCGTCGCGAACAACTCCGGTGGTCCCAAGGCTGACATTGTGAAGTCTGAGACAGGATGCTTGGCGCTCACAGCCGACGAGTATGCGGACAAAATGCTGTCGTTGTTGGAGAAAACTCCAGCCGAAGCGATTGAGATGCGATCTGCAGCACGCAAGTCTTCGTTGCGCTTTTCGGATGAGGAGTTTGGCGAACAGTTTTTAGCAGCCATAAATGGTGTCCTCGAGTCCGTAAATGGTGGCTCGGACCACGTCAAGTCAGCATAAATGGCGTCGATAATAGCGATTGCCATTGACTGTTTCTGAAAGCTCGAGTTTTCAGCAGTTCACTGTCCAGCAACATTTCGATGTCATTACCAGAGCCTGAGCAGGGCGCAGAGCAACAAACTGACGTTGAGTGTGCTGTGTTTTGTCCTATTCGTAGAGATTTTGTGTTCCCGGACTTGATTTTGGTGGCACATTTGCTGTTGGTTTCGCTTTCCAAGACCGCAACGGATGAAAGAAGGGTCGCAGGTTGGAGGAAGCGGAGAGGCAGATTGAAACGACCGTCGCTTTGCAGACATCGAACCTCGAAAGACAACTAGAGGAGATCTAACGACCGTCGAGCACTTTCACTTTGGAAGGTAGCGAGGAGTAAAGGAGAAGACAAAGCTTGAAGCATCGACGTAAGTGGCCGAGCCCAAGCTTACCATGCCGGGATCAACTAGCCGAGACTCGCATCCTCGGTTGTCATCCGCAGACATCGTCGCGGTGACGACCGAGATGCGTCTACGACAACAGGGACGAAAGAATCGAGCTGCGAAAGGCAAGGACGACTCGGATGACGCCAAGCGGGAGCTTGTCATGGAAGAGCACAAACAGAGTCCGGCCGAGATTTTTGCAGATCTGGGGTCCGACCCAGTGAACGTAAGCTATCAATCTGACCATAGTGTGCTGTACCCTTGCTAACTGCAACTTGACGTACGATCTTCAGGGTATGACCCAACACGATGTTCAGGGTCGTCTTGAATCGGAGGGATTGAATCGATTAACCCCACCGAAGCAAACGCCGGAAATTATCAAGTACATTCGTGAACTGACGGGCCTGTTCAGTCTGTTACTGTGGGTCGGCGGCGCTCTGTGTATCATCATTTATGGACTGCAGGGTGACCCCAACAATCTGTACCTTGGTATCGTGCTGTTTTTGGTTGTGGTCATCACTGGTACATTCTCGTACTTTCAGAACGCGAAGTCCTCAAACCTGATGGAATCATTCAAGCAAATGATGCCTACAGTCACGACGGTGATCCGAGAGGGCAAGTCTCAGAAGATCGAGGCATCTCAGCTGGTTCGTGGAGATATTATCCTTCTCAAGGGTGGCGACAAGGTTCCTGCCGATATTCGCGTGCTGGAATGCTCCGATGATCTCACAGTAGACAACTCGTGTCTGACTGGCGAACCAGAGCCGTTGAAGCGAGTTCCTGACTGCACGGACGAAAACCCTTTGGAAACCAAGAACTTGTGCTTCTTTGGTACCTTTATCCCCCAAGGTTCCGGCAAGGGTGTGGTGGTTCGTGTGGGGGACAAGACTGTCATGGGTCGTATCGCTAAGTTAGCAACTACGACTGGACAAAGCATGACGCCGATCGCACGTGAGATTAATCATTTCGTCCACATCATCGCGGTAGTCGCCGTGGTTATTGGTGTCATCTTCTTCATCATCGGCATCTTCCTCAAGACCGATATCGTCACCAACGTGGTGTTCATGATCGGTATCATCGTTGCAAATGTCCCTGAAGGGCTGCTAGCTACAGTGACTGTGTGTTTGAGTCTTGCTGCGAACCGGATGGCGCACAAGTCGGTCCTCGTGAAGAACTTGGAAGGTGTTGAGACGCTGGGCTCCACGAGCTGCATCTGCTCGGATAAAACAGGCACGCTCACACAGAACGTCATGACGGTCGCTCATGTCGTCTACGACAACAAAATCTTCGACGCCGAATGTTCCATCACCCCAGTAGGGAATTACGACCTCAACTCTCCTTCATTCAAAGCGCTACAGCGCTGCGCCACGCTGTGCAACAACGCTGTCTTTGACGAAGATTCAAAGTATGAGAAAGCGGTTGGTCCTGATGGTTTGGCTGCACGTGGGAAACGCAAACCATTCAAGGAGACAGTGTCGATGGGCAACGGATCGACCATGGAGAAGGTGGCGTGGGATACAATCGGCGATGCATCGGAGTCTGCTATGATCAAGTTCTGTCACGACAAGAAGGATATCATTGAATTTCGCGAGGAAAACCTTAAGATCAAGGAAGTTCTGTTCAACTCGAAGAACAAGTACCAGTTGTCTCTACACAAACAAGACAACGATGATAGTAAACCGCTTTTGATGGTGATGAAGGGCGCGCCTGAACGAATTACCGCTCGCTGTGGAACGGTGTTTATTAACGGCGAGGAAGTCCCAATGACCCCCGAACGTCTTGCTGAAGTGGAGGCCGCTCAGCTCGCTCTGTCCAAGAAGGGCATGCGTGTGCTCGGATTTGCTCAAAAGATCCTTGATCCAGCTATTTACCCGGCAGACTACGAGTTCAGCACCGACAACCCGAACTTCCCACTTGGTGAGAAGAACGTTGACTACGAGGCGACGCCAAAGCCCGACCCGAAGGTGGAGGAACCGTTGTGCTTCATTGGTTTGATGGCGTTGATTGATCCACCGCGTCCTGAGGTTCCTATTGCTGTGGCGAAGTGCAAGACAGCAGGAATTCGTGTGATCATGGTCACTGGCGATCACCCGATCACTGCGAAGGCCATCGCACACAAAGTCGGAATTCTGTGGGGCCCCACTTGTGAAGACATCGAAGAAGAAAACACCGAACGTGGTCTCAGTGAAGGTGATAATGGATGGATTGATCCGAAGACTGCTCCGGCCATTGTCGTTCCCGGATGGACAATTAGTTTGGACACCCCGCAAGAAGAATGGGATCGCATCCTGGACCACAGGCAGATCGTGTTCGCGCGAACGTCTCCGCAGCAGAAGCTGATCATCGTAGAGAACTGTCAACGTCGCAAGGAGATTGTCGCAGTGACTGGAGATGGTGTGAATGACTCGCCAGCATTGAAGAAGGCTGACATTGGTATCGCAATGGGTATCATGGGCTCTGCTGTGTCCAAGGAGGCGGCCGATATGATCCTGCTGGATGACAACTTTGCCTCGATCGTGTGCGGAGTTGAAGAAGGACGAATCATCTTTGACAATTTGAAGAAATCGATTGCGTATGCCCTGGCTGCTAATATCCCGGAGCTGGTGCCGTTCTTGTTGTACGCTACTGTTCGGCTTCCGCTACCGCTTACGACTGTGCTGATGCTTCTTATTTGCCTGGGGACTGATATGATCCCTTCGATCGCTATGGCGTACGAAGGCGCTGAAAACGACATCATGCTGCGTGCTCCTCGCAATGCTGAAGTGGAGCATCTAGTGACCAAGAAGTTGGTTTTCTTCGCGTATGCATTGGTTGGTATCATCGAGGCTGGTGCAGGTATGTTTACTTTCTTGGCTGTGATGAATGACTACGGCTACGTACCCAGGATTCTGCCCAACCTCGGCTTCTATGATCGCTTCGGAAAGCAGGTCCTATGGTGCCAAACGGAAGGTGGTCGCTACTGCACTGCTGGTGGCAAATACAAGAAAGATGGCAAGCTTATCCCGCTAGGAGCTACCACTGGAAACGAGAAAGGTGTCCCTGACTGCCAAGACGAGTACAACGATACCATCCCAACCGGAGGCGATATTTTTGATGCGCACATTTTCTTCGACGCGACCGGAGGTGGCAAGGTCATCGACTGCCAATTCCCACTGCAGAACCTCGATACTGAGGCTTCCAAGCCGGATGGCTACGAGAGAACAGATCCCAAGACTTACGCAGACTATACCTCGACACCTTTCGTCACATTCCAGTCTATGGAGTCAGCATGGAAGAATGAATACCGTCCGTACTACCCGATGGCTTCACGACGCTCATCATTCTTCGACATGGAGTGGTTCGACTACGAAACGACTCAGACCGGTCCTCCAGGCTTAGTGGACAGCATTTCACAGGATATTTTCAGTACCTTCCAGCCTCTATCTGTTTGGGCTATTACTGACAGCGCGACCTTAGGAGGTGAGGTTTCAGCCCTCGGCGGAGCTCGCGATGCCTTCGGTGATACAGAGGTGACTGCCGTGGATGGAACTGGTAAGCTAACAACCACCAAGTTCTCACTATCAGCCGACAAGTCTTACAAAGTGGGAAAGAGTTTCGAGAAAATAAAAAAGTCTGATGGAACAGCCCCGTGCAGTGGGAAGCAGTGTCTGCTGGACTACCATGCTGGATTCACTCGTCGTGACACAGACGGCAAGGCGTACGTGAACATCATGTCACGCATGATGCAGTACAGTGCGCTATCTATTGCTCAGACTGCCTACTTCGTTGCTGTCGTGGAGATGCAATGGGCCAACGTCATGATCTGCAAAACGCGCTATCTGTCTATCGTGTCTCAGGGAATGATGAACAGCGTGCTCAACTTCGGTCTGATGTTCGAGTTCATGCTAAGCGCCGTCATTGCGTATGCGGGCTTCACACACACTGTGCTCGACACAGAGAGCATTCGTTTAGTGCACTGGTTCCCTGCGCTGCCGTTCTCCATGTTCCTCTTCTTGCTGGACGAAGGGCGAAAGTTCCTCATGCGATCAACATCCCGTAGCGTCATCCGCAAGGACACGGGTCAAATGATCCGCTATCCAGGCTGGCTCGAGGTAAACACGTACTATTAGCCAGCGACAGATCGGTCACGTCGGACTTCAGGGCACTCAGCAACCCATAGCAAATAGCGGTAGGCGAAGTGCAAGGACGTTTCGAGCTCTTTTTTTTTTTTTCATAATTCACATTGCTTTCCTTCATCACGTTGGGTCTGGAAATGCAACAACCTCGCATCACGCTCAGAGGTGCGAGGTAGGTTAGTTTGTTGCGCAACCAATCGCTTAGATGCTGCTGCCATCGCGAGCCTTCTAAAAGGCTTTATTTTACTGGGAATACCTCAGAATGAGGTAATAGACAGCCCTCAACGGATTAATTCTACGGTACTGCGTAAGCGTAACCTCGGTCGACATTCGTACGACATTAATGTAAAGATGGAAAATCTGTTAACAAAATTTGTTGCTGAAAGAGGACTATACATAATTCTCTTTGGGGGGGGGGGGGGTATTCCCAGTGTAAGTCGCAGACGATCTAGTTTGTCCCTTGTATAGGGGATTGCGTTCCGTATAGAGGGTATTGTGAATAAAAGTTGATAACGTTACTGTAGCACTGGCCAATCATGCCTATTGTTTGCAGCGCATGTCAAGCTTCGAGCAAGGCGCTGTCTCGCTGTGGCCAATGCAAATGGACGGCGTACTGCTCCAAGAAATGTCAGAGAGACCACTGGAAGGCTGGGCATCGTCAAATATGCTCCAAGCTGAAGGTATGTCGACGATTCCGGGACCTAGAGCGGCAGTGGTGGGCGACTCGACCGTCAGATGAGCTGCAGACGTTCGTGGTGCAATTTGGTTTGCAGCCTGAGTCGATGGCTTTCTTCGGAGAAGTTTTATTCCTACTCTGTGGACTCAAGGCGTGCGTGTTGCTGTCCAATCTGCCCCCGATGTGGCGCCAAAGCTTCGCGAACGACGTGGTGCTTGCCAGTGGAATCTTGGAGTTTATAGACTCAACTACCGGCCCATCACCAGCTAGTTTGATAGCACTATATTCGGTCAGTACTCGACTTAAGACACCAGCAGAATACGAGCTCACGGGCGACCTTGTGCTGGGTAATACGAAACACAACGAATTTGCACTAGCAGAGCGAACACTCCATCTTGCCGCTGCGACTGTAGACGCGACTAGTAGTGTGCAATTGGCTACGACGGACACAGCCATGTTGGGGCTGGTGCAGGAACACGAATTGGCACGGATTTTGGGCTATCCGGTGGCGTTGAGCGAGTGCAATGAAGATGCAGCAATGATCGAGGTGAGAATGGCATATCCGATGGATTGAGCTTTCGATTCGTGATTGCACTTACTCTTGTTTGCTTAATTTTATAAAGGTTGGGTATTTTCTCGAGGAGGGACAAGAGCGCGTACTGTTGACGTCTTATTGCGCCATGGCGACACCTCAGCACAAGCAACGCATACAGCAGCATTTTCAGCGATATCGAAGTTGCAGTACAGGACTTCAGCTTACGCTACAGACGTCACAGATCTAGGCATACTACTGGTGTTGACGAAATACTGAGGAGGAGACGGTGTCGCTACTCGCTCGGTCGAGCATGGATTGGGAATGATAAAGATTCGCAGCCTACTGCATTAATACCTGCTGTGCGTTCGTGGCGTCATCGAGTCTGCGAAGATATTTCCTGATCTCCCTGGCCTCTTTTTCGATTTCGCGCAGCCTCTTTTTGGCCTTTTGTCGAAGGTTTTCCACGCGCGCGCGCTCTGCTTCTGCATCTTGTCCTTGGACAGGTTGCTGTTGAAAGTTCCCAGCGTGAGGTGCTGCTCCTGCCACTTGAGCTACAGGTTCGCAGCCTACCGCCTCCCCCTCGTCTGGACCCTCCCGTTCCTTCTGGAAGCGCAGCCCGTGGCGTTTCATGAAGCGAGTAAGCCACCCGACCGACAAATTATGGGGCGGTGGGTTTTCCATCGTGTCGAGGATTTCCCTGGCTCTCGCGTGCAAGATGCGTCGCGTTAGCCTCATTCCGCGCGCCTGAGAATCTTCGACGTAGTGCTCCAGTCGATTTTCGAGTTCCTTCGAGCGTACGCAAACTCTGCGGCCTTTAGCCGTCACATTGCCACTGACTCGCTTGGCCTCGATGTCGGCGGCCGCATTAAGGATGTTGCGGATGGTCTGGCGCGTCGGCGGCACTGACAGCTCGAAGTGATCCTTGGCCCACAGCGCCAGCTGCGTGTAGTTGACGGCCGGCTCGCGCCGGTGCTGCGCGATTAACTCGCACTTCTGCTCGATGGTTAACCACTTGCCTTTGGTGCTCATTTTCGGCGATTCTCTAAAAAGTAGACTAATCTCTTGAAAAGGGGATTGATCGGTATAGAGGGGATTGAGAAAGGTAGCGCAAAACACGTCAGCGCAAAGCTTCAGGAAGGCGCCGCGAAGGCGTTGACGTGCTGTGGTCAATTCGACGGCGTGGTCGTCGCGAGCGATGCATTGTTGAATGCGTGGCACCGAAAAATCAAGACGAGATCTTTCGTGACGACAATGGCACAAACAATGCCAAATTCTTCTTTGGTTGCCGTCATCTCCACCGTCTACATCGGTGCTGCTCTGTTGGAAGCTTATTCAGGTCGGGATATTTTGCTGGTGAGCAGAATACATGTATGAAATAGGAACGCTTTGGGCTCCTACCATGTCTACTACAGACTATCCAGGATATCTGTTGTGTGGAAGACGGCAAGCAAGAAAACGAGGAAGGCTGCCACTGTGACAGCGCCTGCAGTGCCACCATCCATCATTCCAATCTAACGCGAGTATTACATGGCGCTAAGAAGACAACACTTCTCATCGAATGCAACATGCTCATTCGAAAGCAAGGCATGCCGCAAGCTCGCGTAAGTCGCACCGTGACAACGAACAGTTGAACCTGAGCTTTAAAATACCCTGCTGAACCTGGTATTCACTGATGCTACTGGAAATGACAGGATATTCTATTGCACAGCTCCAGTAAAGATAAAAATGAGAAAAGTGGCATGATACCTTAATTTATATCAAATTACGCAGTCACAGCTCAGTCTCTTGCATTCCACCCGGGACATTTCGGCCAATTAACACACGCGCGTCTGCTGTAACCCAACTGCCGTTGACTTGCTTCCAGTATGCCATGGCAGAGGCAGGTGCAAAGAAAAGAAGTTCGCAATGGCCGGTCATTTCGAGGGGCTGGGTCTCAGCTGCTGTGGTCTGAACGTCAGTCGTGCAGACAGAGAGACACAACTGGACGCCCCCACTTCCGCTTCCTCTTGGCGCCGCCCAGCTCGGCCAAGGAAGGCAAGGGGATTAAAACACCTCACGAGGTTGCGTACGGCCGTTTCATTCCAAGCGCCGTATCCGCCACGACCGCCACTCTCTCTTTAGCCCACGCGCCATCATGAGCGCGTCCTGGGACTCGGATCTGTCCTCGATCATCGAGAAGACCAACAACAACCTCAAGCTACTGCGCAAGATCGGCGACAAGCCGCAAGTGCGATCGCCCGATGTGTCTGTGACTGCTGCTGGCCACCCGTCGGCCCGCCCTCGCGCGTTTGTCGGCGCTCAAGATGACGCCGGGTCGACCTCGTCGCGTGGCTCGGCCCGCCCTCGCGCCTTTATCCGTGGCGATGACGACACAAGCTCCATGGGCTCCCACGGGTCTGCGCGTCCCAAGGCTTATGTTCGAGGGGACGACGATACGGGCTCTATGGGCTCGCACACGTCTGGCCGTCCCAAGGCTTTTATCCGCACGGACGACGACTCGGGCTCCGTGTCGTCAAGAGCTTCGGCCAGACCCAAGGCCTTCATCCGGCCCGATGATGATGCGGGTTCTGCGTCCTCCAGAGCTTCGGCCCGACCCAAGGCCTTCATCCGCGCGGACGATGACAGCGGTTCCGTGTCTTCAAGAGCCTCGGCCAGACCCAAGGCCTTTATCCGAGGAGATGACGACACGGGCTCCATGTCGTCGCGCTCCTCTGCTCGGCCCAAGGCTTTCGTCCGCGGCGACGACGATACTGGATCCATGAACAGCAACCAGGGCCTCGGCCGCTCCCGTCTTGACTCTGGCAGCAGCTCCGGCCGCCCGCATGTGGGTATCGCCGGTGGCGGCGGCTTGACGGCCGCCATGTTGCAGCAACATCGGGCCACTGCCGCTGGTGGCACTGGCCTGGGAATGGCCGACTTGAATGCACAACGCTCACGCTTCGACCTGGACGAGACGCGCTCCATGAGTGGCGTGTCGGCCTCCCGTCTCAGACGTCCGCTTGGTGCCAACGGCCGCGTCCCGCACGCTCGGCCACTTGGTGCCAGCATGGGCCCTCGTATTCGTGTTCCCGACGCCGACATCCCCAGCGACATCCCGAACCACGTGGTGGACGAGATCAAGAAGAGTCTGGAGACTCATTTCGCCTCTCGCAATGGCGCAGTGGACAAGAAGGTGGCCGACTTACGTACAGACGTGGCCGGCCTGACTACACAGACATCCTCGCTCAGCTCGCAGATCTCGGAGCTGCGCGACGCTGTACTGGTGTCTGCTAACAGCGCATCGTCGGCCAACGCCCCGGCCATCTCGGACCCGAAGATCTTTGCCAGTGTCCAAGCCAATGCCGCAGCTATCGCTCGCCTTGAAGAGCACAGCGCTGACCTGTTGGGCCGGAAAGTGAGTGTGGACCGCGAGCTGGCGGAACTCGGCTCTCGAGTCAAGTCGATGTCGTCCGCGACCATGAAGATCTCGACGCTGGAGGACAACATCGAGGCGCTCGTAGCTAACCGACAGAAACAGGAGCAAGGATTGTTCAAGCTTGCAGACAGAGTGCAGCTGATGCATCGCCAGATGGGCAGTCTAGTGGACATGAAGGCTGTGGAGAACTTGCTGAGCATTCGACTGACGCGCGAGTTCCGTGAGATGGAGGATCGACTGGCCCAGAATGTCATGCGCATGGCGGAGAAGATGGAGCAGAAGGTGCAGAGCATGGAGAAGCAGTCGTTCTCGCAGCGTCAGGAGAGTCTGGCCGCGCTCAAGAACGATTTGACGGACGACATTCAGCGTCTCCAGAGCTCGGCCCTGCGTAAGAGCGACTTGGTGCCGCTTCAGAACGCTCAGACGCAGAGCAAGGAGGATCTGGCCCAGTTGTCTAGTGCCTTGGACCGTCAGGAGAAGAAACTGCAGGACGCCAAGGTGGCTAACTCCACACTGCGTGACGAGCTGGCCGATGCTCGCACGGAGCTGAACAAGGCACTACAGAGCCAGCAACGTAGCGCTTCGGCCCTGCTGGAAGAGAAACTGGAGCAGATCACGACCAAGAACAAGGAAAAATCCACCAAGTTTGACGACCAGCTGTCGGAGCTGGCCAAGAAGCAGAAAAAGCTCGAGGAGGCCACGAAAACGCTGCAGGAAACGATGACCCAGGTGAAGGCCGAGGCCGGCCAGCGCTGGAGCCGCAGCTCGGCCGACAGGGAGGAGGAGAACGACAAACTGCGTCAACGTCTGGCCCGCTCTGTCGCTGAGCTTGAGGCTCTGGCCACCACCAAGGCCGACGTGGAGCGTCGCTTTGCTAGTGAGGAGCAGCAGTTCCAGGCGAGATTGAAGGAGCTTCGTACGACGCTGACTGAGACGGAGAAGCAGAAGGAAGCGCAGCGCCTGGAACTTATGCAGAAGCTGCAAGAGGAGAGCAAATTGATGGGCGTGGCGCAAGGCAAGAACTCGCTGTTGGAGACCTTGTTGGCTCGTGAAAAGGCTGAGAACGAGGAGAAGAACGAGCTGGTACGTAAGTCCAAGAAGGAAGTGACCGAGGTTCGCGAGCAGATCCGTAATCTGGAAAGTGAGAAGGAGAAGAAGGTCCGTCAGTTGACGTCGGAGCTGCAGGCCAAGCAGACGCAGGTTGGACTGCTGACCAAGACTCTGAAGCGTATCGAAACGGCTTCGGCGAAGATGCTGGATCTGTCCAAGCGGGAGGCCAAGACTGTGCGTCGTGTGAAGGCTACGAAGGAGCATGAGTTGTTCATTGCGCAGCTGAAGCTTAAGGAAATGGAGCGTGTGGCTCAGGCTCTGCAGAATGGCGACGAGATGAAGAAGCAGGCGGCGCTTACTGCTGCCAGCACGGAAGAGCGCAAGGAACTGGAGAAACTGCTGCTTGAGAGCCAACTGGAGAAGGACGAACTGAAGCAGGAGCTGGAGGAGATGACGGAGGAGTTCAACGCGGCCAAGGAGAGTCAGAAGGTGATCATGGAGGACACCATCACCAAGCTATCGAGCGACTACGACGAGAAGATCAGCGATCTCAAACAGCAGATCTCAGACAAGGAACAGGCCATGCGTCAACTGCGCGACACGCTTGTGGAGAAGAGCAACTTGGACGCGCTTGAAGACGAGTTGGCAGCACTCAAGGACGAGAAGAACGACTTGCTGGAGCAGATCCAGCGCGCCCAGATCGAGCACGAGCGTGTGACGCTCAAGACTGAGACGAATCTACGTCTGGAGCATGCGACGGAGTTCGCTGCGATGAAGTCCAAGTACGAGGAACGTATCTCGGAGCTTGAAGCCGCTAAGACTGAGCTTGAAACGACCAAGGCGACGATCGCAGAGCTGGAGAAGTCGCTGGAGGAGCAGGAAGCGCTGCACCAGCGTGAAGTGTCGACTCTGACGACTGAGATTAAGGAGGCTCGTGCCAAGATTGACGAGTGCACAGCCCAGATTCTGGACCTTGAAGAGACGAAGACTCGTCTGGAAGGCGAGGTCTCTCAGATGGAGGCTAACATTGGCGGTGCATCGGCCGAGAAGGAAGAAGAACTGGAAGCGATCAAGAGCCAGATGCAGGCTGAAGTCGAGAAACTTCGTGCTGAGCTCGCCGAAGTGTCGAGTGCGCTGGAGGAGAAGCAGACGCAGCTCAAGGAGGCAAAGCAGTCGGATGAAGCCAACCGCCAGCGTCTGGTGGAGATGGCCATGGCTCAGGAAGAGATGCAGAGTCGCTACGTTGCCCAGATCGACTCGCTCACATTGAAGCTCAACCAGGAGCGTGAGAGCTCTCGTGCTCGTGAACAGGACTTGGAAGACACAATTGACAAGCTGAATGCTGACGTGAAGATGCTCAAGACCGAGTCGAGCAAGGAGCTGGAGGCTGCTCGTGCTGAACTGACCGACCAGATGACCGAGTTGACGACGACACTGAAGGCTTCGCAGTACCGAGAGCAGCAGTTGCAGTCGCGTCTTAAGCGTATTCTGGAGGAGCTGGTGCAGGCCGCGAACGCCTCGGGAGAGAACGAAGTGGCCGAGGATACAGAGATGAGCGACGACGAGGCCATCACGCACCACCTAGACACGTTGTACGCCACGCACCGCCGCACTGCGCACGAGTTGGAGCGTCTCCAGGCCGAGTACGAGTTGACTGTGAAGCAGGCGGCTGCCGACAGCGCTACTGCTCAGGAGCTGGACAACCAGGTAAAGGAGCACGTAACGCAGATCAAGGAGCTGGAGTCGGTCGTAGAACAGCTTCGTGAAGAGCTGAAGGAGCAGTACCACAAGTCTGCTATCATCGCCAAGGGGTCTGACGAGTTCAGTGAAGAGATGGCGTCTCTGCGTGAGGAGAAGCGTCAACTGGAGCGTCAGCTGCAGGAGGAAGAGAAGGACCGTGAGAAACGCGAAGTGTCGTACCAGAGGAAAACGGAGATGAAGGAACGAGAAGTCGAGGAGCTCCGGAACGAGAACAAGACGCTGACGGCTGCTGTGGCTGCTGTCCGCGAGAAGATCCGTGCAGTTGAGAACGTCAAGTACAACGACCTGGGCGAGCTGCAGAAGCAGCTCAAGGACCTTGAAGAACGCACGGCAGCGCTCCAACCGGACGAGAAGAACGTGGCCAACTTGGAGCAGAGCTTCACTGCTACTCGTCAGGAGATTGTGACGCTGACTGCTGAAGTGCAGTCTCTGTACCAGAAGCTAACGGCCTGCTGTGGTATCATGGAGTGGAGTGAGCTTCGTGCCAGTGTCTTTGACGAAGAAGAGAAACTGAGTCGTGTGCGCTCGGAGAATGCTCGTGAATTGGCCAAGGTCCAGTCGGTAGAGCAGGAAGTGCTGACAAATGCTGAGTTCCTGAACGCTTTGCTAGTCGCACATGGATCGACGGGAGGCGATGAAGACCTGCTGAATGATTTCCGATGGATGCAGAAGTACGCGTCTATTGCTCCTGAGATTGTGGAGAAACTCCGGAAGGTGGAGTCGCGATTACGAGACGCGGTGTTGGATCTGCCTGATGGTCCGAACACGCAGGCTGCCCGACCTCCTAACTCTCAGAGATCGGCGGTGGACGGCGCTGCGATCGCCCAGGCGCTCGAGAAGGCGAGGGAGGATTACTTTAGTGAGACGTCGGATGCGGCTGACGAAGACAAGCTCGACGTGGATCAGCCTGATGTGGAGCAGGAGGGTCTTGTGGACCAGGAAGAAGGTGCGAGTCATGACAGTGTGGATGTGGATGAGCAGAGTTCAATTGGCGCTATGAGTCATGAGGAATCTGGAACTTGTGCTGATGAATTGGGGGTCGCTGAACATGTTGTGCATGATGAGCAGGAAAGAAGCCGTGAGGAGCAGCTTGATGAAGAGTTGAGCGTCAAGCAGGATAGGAACGATGACGATGTCGATGGACTAGAGTCGGAGACGCCCAAGATTCAGGCCAAGGGCTTTAGTGGCGGTGGCGGGGAAGGCGGCATGGATGAAGTGGAGAGGCTGATGCTGGAGCGCTCTAGTAAACAGGTGAACCCACGTATTGATAATGAATGTGATGATAGTGATGAATTTGCTACAACGAACGTGCATGAGACCGAAGAGCAGTCGGCTGCAGTAACTGATGAGTATGATTCAAACACTGAATTTGTTGAGCAAGCTGAATTGAGCGCAGTGGAGGGGAATGAACTGGATCCACTTGAGGAGAGTTCGTTTGACAATGCCATGATTTCGGCGTTAGAAAGTAGAGAATCCTCCTACTCAACGTTGAGCACGCATGCAGTCAAGGTAAATGAGGTAGAAGCTGATCTGTCCGACTCGGAAAGTCACGTTGTGCCGGACGCTATTGCGGAGAGCTCGTTTGAAGACTCGAATGATGAAGCCAGAGATACTTGTGACCCTGTAGCGGATAATGCTTCGGTAGAGTTGACACCGGCTGCTCATAATTCTGATGGCGATGCAATTTCTGGCGGTGAGGTTTCTCTCGAGAGTACCAACAAGCCAGAGGTTGTTGCCAATGTTAAGGACACGACATTACCTTCAGAGCAACCATCGTCAGGTACACTAAGTTCTTATCAAGCTGAGGTGCGAAGTGACGAAAAACTTGATCAACTTGAAAGTAATGAGCTAGGAGAGTCATCGGAAAGCACGACTGCGTGTACTGCTGGTGTAGGTAATGCATTGAAGGAATCGGTAACTAGTGTGGCAAATAATGAGCTGGAGAACTCAGATGATGAGGAAAACACATTAGAAGGAAGTTTACGAAGGGTGAGGAGAGTTGTGATTGAGCAGGAAGAGGATAATGAACTGTCGTCGACTTTGAGGAGACCTACATTGGCAGATTCGGATGAAGAGGAGCATTGTTTAGAAGAATCCGTGGAGAACGTCGAGTCCCATTCTCTTCATAAGGATAATGGCTTGGAGGAATCAACCGTCACCTTAGACCGAAGCGCCTTAGTTGAGGAAAATGAACTGGAACAATCCGCGCCAAGTATCGTGAGTGATGAAATAAATGCCTTGGAAGAATCGACATCAAGTAGGCAGAGTAATGAAGACAAGGCGTTAAATGACATAATTCCGAGGATGAACAAGGTTGAGATTAAGCAACTTGATGCGAGTAACTCATTAGAAGAATCATCTGCAAGTATGAATGAGGATACTGCTGCGGACAACTTACACACCTACGAAACCAGTGTGCTAGAAGAATCATCATCAAACGTGGATAACACGGCAGAAATACATGAAGATGGGGAGGATAGCGTTTTGGAAGAGTCCTCCTCAAGTCTGGCAAGTGAGTTACAAAGGAATAACAGTGAGAATTGCCCTGATAGAGCCTCAAGTAGACAGACGTACGATGATTCTCTAGCAGTGCAGAGTGACGACGACGACAATCCCTCTGATCGAGGCGCAGTAGTTAATTCACCGCTCGATAATTCATTCGACACAGACATACAGCCACATATCGACGACGAAGCTGATATACGTCGTGAAGCAGAGCCGATTAAGCATCAAGAAGACGAAGACGAGTGCTCCGAAGAGCAACTTCGAGCTGCAGAATACTCGCTGGATAGACAGTCAGCACCAGAAAGCTATGACGAAGATGCCGGCATCATTGAATCTACTCCTGCTCCAGCAATGGCTCACCGCACGGAGGACGATGACAGTTCAGAAGAGGAGACGATTCCTGTGCAAACTCAACCGACAACGGCGGTGACCCTCAGCCGATTTGGCATGCGCGCGCGTCACTTACACCTTGAAGAAGACGATGAAACAGACGCAGTTGAACGCTTACTTCTGAATCAAAATGCTTCCATCATGCAAAACACGCAGCAACAGTACGATCGGTCCACCAGACCTTCAGCTACGAATGATGATGACGAGTTTGGAGAATCTTCCTTGCAGTCACGAGGTGATGACCACGAAGAGATTGGAGAGGATTCTATTTGGTCACGTGAAGGCCCCGATAAGTGTGAAGACAAATTGACTAGGTCACGTGATAGTGCAACCGATGAGCAAGCGATCAATAACAAAGAATCACTCACAGGTGTGGTGAGGGACACGCTCGCGGATGAATACCAAGATGGCCATACATCGGAAACAATGTCGTCTACTATGAGGAGGGCAGTTGCTGAGGAAAAGTCGTTAGAAGATTCTGCTACAAGTTTAAAGAATACCGAAGCCAAGTTCATTCTCGACGATAACGAATTGGGACAATCAGCAGCAAGTAGTGCGAGTGGTGATCACGCGGAGGATCTGGAAGACTCAACATCAAGTATGCGGAGTTTCTCGCAACGTGACGGAGACAATCACCTTGATGATCGCAATGCAGCAGATGACGTACATACCTACAGAACCGATGCATTGGATGATCCACTGGAAGAATCTGAAGGCAGCGTGGAGAAAGTTGGACCGATTGAACCACTTGATGAAGGTGGAGCGCTTGAATATTTCTCATCAAGCTTGGGTAACTCCGCATTTGGGTATGAAGGGGGCGACGGTAGCGCTTTCGAAGAGTCATCATCAACAAGTCTAACAAGTGAAAAGTCTGACGATGATAGAGCCTCTAGTAGACGTAGGCACGAACTGCAGAGTGACATGGCCAATGATCACGGCGCAGTAGTTATTTCCAGGCCGAATCAACTCGAAAGTTCATTTGACGCTGATGTGCAATCAGTTTCCGATGACGAAGCTAGTTCAGAGGTATCCATACAGCCGGTTAAGCGCCAAGAAGGTGAAGATAAATGGTCTCAAGAGCAAGCAGAACACTCGCTACATAGACCGATAGTTCGAGAAGACGATCGCGACGCAGATGTCCGTACATCAACCATGACATTCCTGTTGGAGAAAGACGACAGCTCAGAGGAGGAGACGATGCCTGTGCAAACTCAACCGATAACTGCAGCGAGTTTGAGCCGATTTGGCATGGCTACCAGTCATCTACACCTAGAAGAAGACGATGAGATGGACGATATTGAACGCCTGCTGTTGGATCAAAGTGCGTCCAGCATGCAAAAGTCACATCGACAATCTGGTCGATCCACTAGACCTGCTGCTGCGGACGATGAGTTTAAAGGGTCTTCTTTGCACTCACCAGGCGAGTTTGGAGAGGATTCCTTTCGCTCACGTAAAGGAACCGATGAATTTGAAGGCAGATTGAGTAGGTCAGGGGACAACGAGTTCGATGAACAATTGGTCCTCGACAAAGAATCGTCTATAGGCGTGAAGAGAAACACACTTGTTGACGAAGATGTAGAGGACAATACAGCGGGAGTATTTTCGTCTACTATGCGGAGGACAGCATCAGAAAACGTAGCTGATGATGATAATTCGTTAAAAGAATCTCCATCAAGCTTAAAAAATGTCGAAACCAATGAGGATAACGAATTGGAACAATCAGTACGTAGTGCGAGTGGTGATCACGCAGAGAATCTGGAAGAATCAACATCAAGTATGCGGAGTATCACGCAGCGTGACGAAGAAAGTGAGCTCGATAAGCAGCTTGATGCACATAACGCAGCTGGTGGCGTACACACCAATACATTGGATCATTCACTGAACGAATCTGAAGCAAATGAGGAGAGAGATGGATCGATGGAGCCATTTGATGAGGCTGGAGCGCTTGAACATTCCACATCAAGCATGGATAACACCGCCGTTGAGTATGAAGGGGATGACGATAGCGTTTTGGAAGAATCATCGTCAAGTCTGGTCTCAAGTAAGCACGCGCACAATGAACTGCAGAGTGGTGAGGACGACGATCACCACCCAGTAGTTATTTCCAGGCCAAATCCATTCGAAAGTTCATTCGACGCTGATATGCAGTCAGATTTCGATGATGAAGCTAGTTCAGAGATATCTACACAGCCGGTTAAACGCCAAGAAGGAGGTAAGGAAGAAAAGTCTGAAGAGCAGCTTCGAGTGGGTAGACCGGTACTAGCAGAGGACGATCACGATGCAGATGAAGACGAGAGTTCGGAAGACGAGGCGATGCCTGTTCAAGCCCCGATATTGTCAGCATCACTGGGTCGATTTGGCATGGCTACCCGACGTCTACACCTAGAAGAAGATGATGAAATGGATGATATTGAAGGTCTGCTATTGGACCAAAGTGCATCCAGCATGCAACAGAGACGACAACAACCTGGCCGGTTCGGTAAAGAAACAACTACGGACGATGACGATGACGAGTTTGATGAAAATACCATTCGTTCACGTGAAGACGAAGAGAATTCGTTAGATGAATCAGCTACCTTGAAAAACGTTGACACCAGGTCTCTCCATGAGGATACCTTGGCCTTGGACACATTCGCCATCTTAAACCGAGACACTTTAGCTGAAGAAGAGGAGCAATCCGCAGCGAGTATCACAAGTGGAGATCGACTTGAGGATAGTAATGCCTTCGAAGACTCGATATCCAGTAATACCGCAGAAGCATATCAATACGACGAAGGTAGTGCTTTAGAAGAGTCCTCATCAAGCCGGTCACGGGAGACTTACAATGAGAATCTCACACATAGAGCCTCAAGTGGACGAAACACGCACGATGAATTTCTCGCACCACAAAATGGCGACGACAGTCGTGCTGATCAAGCCGCAGCTGTCAGTTCCCAGCCTAATGTACTTGAGAGTTCATTCGACGCAGACATGCAGTCAGATAGTGATGAAGAAGTAGCAGAACGTTCGATGGGAGACGATCACGACACTGAAGACACCGTTGAATCTGCTTCTACTAAACCAATGTCACTCCGCATGGAGGAAGACGAAAGTTCAGATGAGGAAACGATGCCTGTGCAAACCCAACCAGTATTGTCAACACGCTTGAGCCGATTTGGTATGAGTACCCGTCGCCTAAATCTTGAAGAAAGTGATGAAATGGATGAGATTGAACGCTTGCTTTTGGACCAAAGTGCATCCAGCTTGGAAAAGAGACAACAACAGTCTAGCAGATTCCCTAGATCTACGGCTATGGATGATGACGATGAGTTTGGAGAATCATCTCTGCAGTCACGAGGTGATGACGACAACGAGTTTGGTGAGAACTCCATTCGTTCCCGCGAAGACAGTGAGTATGAATCCGAGTCAACTAGGTCACGTAGTAACGAATATGAACGAACGGTCCAACACGACGAAGAAACACGACGCCAACAAGATAATCGATTCACTGGACTTAGTAGACACCATTCCAGCGAAGACGCCGGTGAGTTTGGGGAAATATCCCGAGAGTCAAATGGCGATGACGATGGCGAGTTTGGAGAGGAAAACGTTAAAGCTATTTCACTCCATGACGACACTGCTTTGGAAAGATCGACCGCCAGAGTAAACGAAGAAACGTTAGGTGACGCTTTTGACGAGGATAATGAGTTGGAACAATCGGCAGCAAGTAAGGCGAGCAGCCATCACGTTGAGGATATTACTGCCATCGAACAATCAACGTCACGCATGCGGAGGGTTGGGCAGCACGTCGAAGACAATGCGTCAGGCTCGAAAGTGGCCACGGCTAAGTTCGATACAAGTAACTCATTAGACGAATCAGCTTCACGTTTTACTTCCACTGATGCTCCACACACCAATGCGTTGCAACATTCAGAAGACGACGACGTCAATGCTTTGGATGAATCCTCATCAAGTCTGGCAAGTAGATCACGAGAATACCATAGCAGGAATTTCCGTGATAAATCTTCAGCTCTGCATTGCGACGACGACGACCATCACCTCGATCGAGTGGCAGATAATTCACCTCAACATCCACTGGAGAGTTCATTCGACTTGCAGTCAGATCTCGAAGATGAAGCTAGTGCAGAGTCCACACAGCAGCTTAAGCACCTAGAAGGTTGGGGTGAGCGGCGTGACGAGCATTTGCATGGTAGATTGGCCGGAGAAGACGAAAATGACGCAGATTACAACGAATCTGCTCCAGCCAGGATACTCCACATGGAGGACGGTGAAAGCTCGGAAGAGGAGACAATGCCTGTGCAAACCCAACCAGTATTGTCAACACACTTGAGCCGATTTGGTATGAGTACCCGTCGCCTAAATCTTGAAGAAAGTGATGAAATGGATGAGATTGAACGCTTGCTTTTGGACCAAAGTGCATCCAGCTTGGAAAAGAGACAACAACAGTCTAGCAGATTCCCTAGATCTACGGCTATGGATGATGACGATGAGTTTGGAGAATCATCTCTGCAGTCACGAGGTGATGACGACAACGAGTTTGGTGAGAACTCCATTCGTTCCCGTGAAGATCCCAACGAGTTTGAAGACGAATCGGCTGCTAGTAGCTCGCTGGACAATAACCGATCGAATCAAATTGATGAAGCACAACGTCAACAAGCTCATCGATTTACTAGACGCACTAGACACCATGGTACCGATGAAGAAGATGAATTTGGCGCTTCGTCCATCCGATCGAGAGCACACCACGACGAGTTCGTCGAGACAACGAAATCTCAAGAGGAAGACGAATTCGGCGAGGCTTCGATCAGATCCAGGTCATGTGAGGAGGATGAATTCGGGGAAGTTTCCCTCACATCTCGTGAAGGCATGCCCATTCAAATGTCTAACGATTCCAGACTACCTGAAGAAGGTAGATTCGGTAGTTCAAGCCGATCCGACGTGCGCGAAACGAACGACCTGAGCCAAGCATTGAGCAGCTTACGGGGTGATCCTGATCTTGTTAGCGCATATCCGCGCGAAGAGAACGAAGATGGATCACGCGAAGAAGAAGAATTTGGCGAGACATCTTTCCATAGCGGATCGTATGAAGACGACGACTTTGGTGAGATTTCAATCCCGCTACAAGAAGATACAGGGATCCCGCCAGCCCCTTCGCGTTTGCTTAGTGCACCCGTTGTCGGGCGCGCTGACAGAGGATTGGTCTACCACGACGGCTTGATGAACTCGCCGTTGAAATCACCAAGAACCACGACGACAGGAGCTCATGATGACAGCACTAATGAGGCAGAACATGACTATATGGATGATTCCTTTGACCTGGACGAGTCGCTGGAGGAGGAAGACGATGAAAGAGACGTATAAGCGTTCGCACCATCTTAACGATCCAATACAAATGCAGTTTAGTATTATACTTGATCTCGTCAGCGACGATAAGCGTTAGCACCGACAAAAGGCGGTGCACCAGGCTCTTGACTTTCGAGTAAAAGCTTCCGGTATCTGTCCTGAGACTCAGCTCCAAGCAGACCGCCGAACTTGACCTGACCGACACCTGATCCCATTGCAACGGCATTCAGCACCTCAGCATCTGCACCTGGTTGTCCAGCTGAAGCCCCTAAGATCACAGCAAGTCCAAGACGCTGGGTGTCCGTGATGGCTTGCAGCAGCCTTGACACTGTCGGGAACTGGTGCGGAACCAGCAATACCGTATTGCAGGCACGTTCTTCACTCAGAGCGGTCAGTCCGTGGCGTTCCACCACCGAACGCCCTACAATTTGAACGCGACAGTTGGGATCACCTCCAAGTCCAACGTTCTCCTTCACTCCACCTTCTTGGGGCTCTCCAGACGCCAACGCACTTCCATCCGAATCATTTTCAGAGTTGTTTAATGCCGCGAAGCTCTTGATGTCGCCGACATCGAACGGATCGATGACTGTCGTGATATCTAGCTCCTTGACGCTACTGCGCACAGTGTTCAGTATCTCGTCACTATTCTTTAACGCACCACTCGACCCAGGCACCCACCGGTCTGTATTGTACGTAAAAGACCGAGGCGTCTCGTTGTCATCTTCATTTTGGGCTGTATCACTATCCGTCCGAATGGGGGGCACAACGAACTCGGACGCAGCAAAGTCTACACCAAAGTCTACACGTAACGGAGAGGCACTCGCAGTCGAGATCACTTGTGCTTCCGAGTCTTCAAGTCGTACTCGAACGTCGTCCAAAGCCGCACGCAGCACGTGGAAAACTTCGTCCAGAGTCTGAAGTTGCGGTGCAAAGCCTCCGAACGCGCCGCGGTTGGTGAACCCAACACCGCGAGTTTCGAGTTGTGTACGAAGTGCAGAATTGAACTCCACAGCGATCTGCAACGCGTCTGCGAAGCTCGCGGCACTCGTCGGTATCATCAGCACTTCCTGTGCGAATAGTTTGTTGGACGCATACTTGCCGCCGTTCACGACGCTGAAGTGCGGCATGGGGACGCACTGGTTCTCCGGCGGTAGTTCTTGTAGCTTGGCCACGTAGTCGTGAAGCGGTAGCTCAGCATATTTCGCTCCTGCCTGACAAATTGCAAGCGAAGTCGCCGCACACACATTACGTCCCAGAGTCGTGTCGAGATCCTGCAGGATAGCGTCGAGTGTGCTCTGATCCGTAGGCTCCAAGCTCACCAGCTTCTCCGTCAGTAATTCCTGTGCTGTAGCTGCAATCTTTGTGAATCCTCGACCACCGTAGCGTAGTTTGCTTGAAGGAATGCTAGCTATCGCATCGTCAATGTCTCGAGTCTTTGCATCGGATTCACGATCCGTGATCCCTCCCGCTTCGGCGGAGCAGCATCCTTCGAAGATTCCTTTGCCTGTATGCAGCCTCACCAGCACTGTAGGCTCTCCAGACGCGTCCAAAGCTTCGCACACTTGTACGAACAAGATGCCGCGCTTGGCCGTTGCCCGTGCGTACAGCAACGACGACAGCATGAGAAACGGGTCTTCCGGTCGAGTGGCCACCACCTGATTGATCACATCGTTCAGTGACGTTTCGAGCGAGTGTTCGGCCACGTAGGCCTCGACCAAGTCTCGCTCTCGCATTTGCTCCTCTTCTTCGTCTTCCTCTTGATCATCACGGTCATGCTGCTGCACCATAGCTCAAATAATTAACAGAGACTTTCGATTGCGACCTTTAAAGATCGAAGATACTTTTTGCCACATGCGACTAGCAAAATGTAGCCACACCGTACCAGTTCATCAGCGTAGAGTTTTGCAACTACCAACTTGATAATTGGCAAATGCTGACATGGAAACAACATGGAAAGCGATAATTTTAGCGCCTTGTGTTTCCAGGCTATCAATACGACGTCGTATTGTGTCGAAAATAATGGAAACGAACTGCTGTCTCTTCGATTCTAAAAAGGACGGAGGGGTTTGAACTGCTTTGGCCAATCCCCCTCACCGACTACGACGGAGTGTCAAGGCTCCGTGCTGGTTGGGCCGCATGGAGAACTATGAGAGTCTCGGCACGATCGGCGAAGGGTGAGTCGGACATCGACATTTACAAGGATTAAGACGTTGAAAGCGCTAAGTAGTTGTGTATTGTTTACTGGACTGCAGAACGTACGGTGTGGTGCTCAAGTGCAGGCACAAGGTCACGGGCCAGATCGTTGCTATCAAAAAGTTTAAGGAGTCGGACGACGATGAGCAGGTCAAGAAGACCGCACTTCGAGAGATCAAGATCCTTAAGCAACTCAAACACGAAAACATTGTGAGTCTACTCGAGGTTTTCCGGATGAAAGGCAAGCTCTATTTAGTGTTCGAGTTCGTGGAAAAGACCATTCTCGAGGAAATCGAGCGGCATCCCGACGGTCTGGACCCGTTAACACTCAAGAATCTCATGTGGCAGCTTGTTCGTGCCATAACGTTCTGCCATCAACACAATATCATCCACCGGGACATCAAACCAGAGAACTTGCTGGTCTCTCGGAACGGCGTGCTCAAGCTCTGCGATTTTGGCTTTGCAAGGCCCCTGGCATCAGCTGGAGCCAAGTACACAGAGTACGTGTCTACAAGATGGTATCGAGCGCCTGAGCTGTTAGTTGGTGATGTATCTTACGGTAAAGCAGTCGATGTGTGGTCCATTGGCTGTATGTTCGCTGAAATCGCCACGGGTTTGCCGTTGTTCCCTGGAGACTCGGACATTGATCAGTTATACCATATTATCCGTTGTCTTGGCCACATCACCTCAAGGCAACAAGATCTCTTTCGAAGGAATGCACTCTACGTTGGTGTTAAATTACCACAATCTAGTGAACTGGAGCCACTCGAAGCTCGGTTCCCAACTATGGACAAAGTATCGCTTGATTTCATCCGACAAACTATCGTGGACGAGCCTCTGGATCGCTGGACATGTGCTGAACTACTCAAACACCCATTCTTCGAGAACTCGCACGAAGCGTTTGAAGCTGAACTACAAGAGGCGATTGCACGGGATCTCAACGATAATGCAGTTAGGAAAAAGCGAGCACGAAAACCTTCTCGAGGGAATGCTCTGGCTGGAGCCATCCCAGTGATGCCAGTTTCTTCATCAACTTTTAATGATCCTTTGACGAATGGCGTCGACACCTGTAAACCACTTGGGAAACTTCTCTTCGCACCTGTGCAGAAGAAAGAGAAGAGCGGTGTGGCAGCTAGTGACAATAGCAATAGTAACGCACACATCGTGTCGCGAAAAACACCGCCGGGGATTGGTTTTGTCCATGGTGGAGCGTACCATTTACCGACACTTCAAGGCGCGATGAACAACTCGTCCAGCTCCAGCTCCACATCAAGTACAGCTACAACTATTAGTATTAACAACATCAACTCGGTCAATTCCGGTGCAGACAGTGGCAATACCAGTCCTCTCTTTTCTCAAAACAAGAAGCTCATGGTGCCGTCAGGAGCGGTTCCTTCCATCTCAGAGCATCACGCAGCTACAAGCTACGGCCAATCTGTACCAGCGGAGCACATGACGTACATCGGTTTACATGAAAATGTCCGCGTTTCCATGACTTCGCATGGGAGTCGATTAGGAGGAACAGGCCCACTTGTTCATCCATACTCGACACCAACGCCCAAGCCACCATCGTCGTATATGAAGAATCCTTACGGAGTACACCAGTCCTCTTCAAAACGTGGAAATGGGAAGAACGGTGGCTCGAGCTTACTCAATTCCATGGACACGTATTCTCCCAAGAGATCGGGGAAAAACTCTCATAATTCCTACGGACATGGCACTGGATGGAGTGGTTCTAAGAAAGGGAATTCCACAGGCGTTGGAGCATCGGGTACTATGTCAAAGGGGACCTCACAACAAGGCCTGTACGCTCCCCCTAGAACATCTCACAGTACAATTCGTGCAGCATTACCACAAGGAACTTTTGCACACGTACGGCGAGAGAATGACGCGCGGAACTTCTAGCCTATGCTAAACGTAATGCCAAGCCACAGTTTTGAACGTAACTTGCGCTATTGACAGCGTATGCTTAATCTAGAGATCAGTCGCGGTGACTTCCTGCTTGAACGCATAGAATTCGTCGATCCACTGGCGAACAAACTTAAGTTCGGTCTTGCGCGCCTCAGTGACAGCAGAAGGGTCCAGTGGGTGCGTGAAGAACAAGTCGAGGTGGTGGGCTCCTCCAGGAACAGGCACAGCCACCACCGAAGGCGAAAGAGACTCAAGCACACCAAGACCCGACCACGGATCGAAGTTCCCGTTGCTGAAGATTATATTGCTGGCAGCACGAAGAGCTTTCATGCCGCCGAACTCGGTCTGAGCCCACCGAGGCTTCAAGTGAACTCCCCACTGTTCGAAACATGCGGCATCGTCCTGAGACTCGTTGACTGCAGTCGCGGGGAAAACATCGTTCACTCCGTCCGAACTCATGGGCATATACAGCTCCGAGCACTCGAGATATCCCCAAAAGTTGCCCTTATGGTCGATTCTGACCTGTTTGGCAGCATCCGAAGTGTCCGACTCGTTGATAGTGTGCACTGGAGCAGCCGGGAAGAAGCAGCTCTCGGTCTTTGTGGCGTTGTAGTATACAGCGATACTCTCGCGGAATGCACTGACCAATGCCGTCTTGTCATCACCGAAATCGCCAGCGAATGGCTCACACGCAGCACGCATCGGATAACCCGGCAGATCCACTTTCCCGTCCATGATGTACGACGTTGGGTACGGATAGTTGCCCATTGCCAAGTCGCCGTACGCCTCCGAGGCAATTGAAATGACGTCGTCGGAGGACTGCAACGAGTCAGTATCACACAGTCGAAGCAGTTCTGTCAGTTCTTTCCGTCCAGTCTTCGTCCTACTCATCTCTACTGCCGTGTTCAATGCACGTCGGAGATTCGGGATACAGTTCTTGGCGGCGCCGGCGTCTTCCGACATATCGAACGTCACGACACGGTTGAATGCCTCGGTGTCTGCTGGGTGATCTGGGTCGCCGAAGAAGTTGACAACTGGTGCCGAACCTGCGATGATACCGTCGATGATGTGCGGGTATTTCATTCTGAACCAGGTGCCCAACATACCGCCGTACGAGCCTCCGAAGCCGATCACTGGGACGTCCGTGCTCAAGTCGCTCTTGAGCTGCTCGATCAGCACTGCGTAGTCGGCCATTGCCTGTTGTGTGGATAGGAATTCCATGTGATCCAACACGTCCAAACCGAATGGAACGGACTTGCCGAAGTAGCGATGCTCGGCGAACACAATGAGCGCGTTGAAGGCCGCCGCGTTCTCCCACATGAGCCCCGTGTGGTTCAGATACAGCGTCACGTCCGCTTCGTTGCCCACGTAGAAGAAGATGGAGCCGTTCGTGGGGTTAAAGTTTTCTGGGGAGCAAACAAAGTACCGCATTTCGAATGTTCCCTCGCTGGATTTACCGTCGGCTCGGAAGTGGTCGAGCGATTGAGTGATGAATTTCTCCTCACAAAGTGACAGTAGATCTCTCGATCCGTCGGGAAGGGTGGGGAACGAGGTGGGGGTGGCTGTAATTGCCTCTTGAGTAGTTAGAGACGGAATCGAAGTGGGGGAGTTGAAAGTTGTTGTTAACGCCAAAAGTGCCAACGCAGCGGAGACCAAGGCAACCCAACCCAATGCAACAGGAAGGGGACGGCGGACGTCACTGCCAATTGCAGTGTATTTGCTGGGCAACATTGGCGAGCGCTCACCCGACGAGAGAGGCATGGGGAAGTCGCTATCAGGGTATCTGGATGAGTGTAGCAAGATCGGATACCGTTGTGATTGGACGCAGTGGATTTGAAGCACTATTGTGAACTTTGAAGATAATCTTGTGTATTTTGAGACTGATACAAGAACGACAAAGCGCGAGTTTGATGATCTGGTTGATTGGAATTATGTGCTACGCAGTCTCAATTCTTGGTCATTCGTTGGTCTTGAATGACGAGAAAACCCAAGTATTAGTACTGCGGGCCGATATTTTTCTTCTTCTCGCCGAATTCGAGGTGCTTGGTGCGTTTGATGGCCATCTGCTTCTTGCACTTGCACGTCTTGCATTCCAAACGCAGGGCGACCTTCTTGGCCGTTTTGGCCTGAAGCAATAACAGAAGTTGGTCGGATGACTCGTAGAGATAAGCTGGGATGAGTCACTGTACCTTCTTGTGGAATATTTCCTTTGTCTGGCCACCAAAACCCTTCTGTTTCGCCGCGTAGCGACGAGCACCCTGAGCCGTTGTGGTGGCCTTGCCGCGCTTGTATTGAGTGACCTTTTGCACGGTGTGCTTCTTGCACTTCTTGCAAAAAGTTCGACGCTCCTTTGGGATGCTTACCATTGATGAAGATGTGATCTGAAAACAACACAATGTGTGACTTCCTATCGTACGGGTACTTTTAATTGAATTGAGAGCTTTACCTCTCTTTCGGTCCGCTTTTACCAGAGTGCTGCTAGATATTGGGGTTCATGTTGGAAAAACTCAGGCAATCCTGCACCTACAGGTAGCAAAACGTTGGTAAACCAACGAGATCCAAACCAGACAGAACAATTCCAGAAAGGGTTTTCTGGAGTACATGTACGATTGCGAGGCTCGTAAAGCCAAAGGGCTAAGTAAACAAATGAGCATCGATAACGTCGCAATTGCAAATCACTGCTGGTCGATTATATTTCAATAGAAATCGACATTTAGTTCTTGATTGTATGTCACGATCATGAACAATAACAAACTTCATTGAAGCATTCACTACTTTCGCGGTTTTCAGAACTGGAAGTGGGGTTGCGCCATACGATGCCGATGCGTCGTAGCCCCAAAGACAGAAGGAGAAAAAGGAAGCTCCCGCCACTTTTGTCTACTCTGGGCAGAACAAGCAAATGGTTAACTAACCCGAACGAATCTGGTTCGCCAAAAGATGTCCTGTGATAGTCGGACGGGTACGGATAGCCGACCCACTTCTCGCTCTACCTTTATCTTATTGGAACAGCCATTTGAACGCGTTTGAATTCTAAACTGATGTCCTTTTCCAAAAACTAAAACTCGTTTGACTTGGAGTATCCCCCCCCCCCTTTCAGGTTTATTCTTTTGAATATGATAAAGGACAGATTTTTGGATCCTAAATAAATTGTATCGCAGAAGTAAACCATTTTACATTTTTCATCGCGATTATCGAGCCGATTGCTATTTCCGGCCAGCCATGATGTCTCATGCGTTTGGTTGTGGTCGTCCGAGACTTTTTTCACAAGGACTTTCGAACGGATATGATTAACCGGAAATATGCATTTGCGCCGTCTGACTCTGTGGTATTGATGCGAGCGGAAAAAAGCTAAAAGGGGGTTATCCTGGACACGCATGACAGGCGATGCACTTCAATATCGTCTCAATGTATACGCCCCACACAGTTCTTTTCCTACATAGTCTTGAAGAGGATAACAAAATGGTGGTAGAAGGTATTTTGGATAGACGAAGTCACCATCGTGCCAAAAACTAGTGAAAGGCGATCGGTTGTTGCCAATTCCCTTTGAGCGATCCCTTTGCTTGTCACTCAGGCTGTTTCGTACATTGGTCCCAATGTGGTCAAATTTGTAAAATAAAAACTTAGTTTGAACCATATTTTGTGACTAAATACACTGTAAATGCATGTTGAAGCTCTGATGGTGCGAGCTCTCAGCTCCAAGCTACGTAGAGTATATTCTGCTCGGAAGGGCCTTGGTTGACACTTTGGATGGATTCCGGCGTCAATTAGCGATATCTTGTAAGTATGGCCTATTTACGTAGTAAAAAATAAATGCTCGTGATCGAAACGTTTCATGTTGCATGACTTTCGTGCAATGCACGAAACCCCTTTTCTTGTCACACAAAAACAAATAAAAAAAATTACCTGTCTTTCGAAATAAAAGGGAAAAATAGCTACTTTTCGTTTAGTCGTTTTTATTATCATTGATCATGTGAGCTTGTCATGCTAGGTAAATGTAGGCCATGCGTTGATCAACGATTAACCCCTTAAGCGCGGGTGCTGACAAGAACAGGATAGGCACCTTCGTAAACCCTCCTGGATGGTATAATAGTTCAAGTTGATTCCAGTATTCCTTACTGAAATCATAATTAAATTTGCGTATATTCTGTTCGCTTTGTTGTTAACCTTTCTACTAATAATTCGCAAAGGTAATGATGATTTGCTCCTGTGACCAATCAAATGGTTCCAAAAATCGAAATTATTTTAAGCATTTCACTCCAACAATGCTGTAACGTGCAAACAGGAAAAATCATGTTTATTTGCTATCGTGGTACCCGTAAAAAATGTTTACTTGCTATCGTTGCTGATACCTACACCACGGTCTCTAACGTTGCCAGTCTTCGGGGCAAACTCGCCATTACGCCACGTAATGTGCCATATTTGACCACAAGTGAGCCCTTCGTTTGCTCGTAGTTTCGCACCTTGTTGCACAAAGTAGCGAGGCCTCTCTTTCCTTCGGAGCATTTGGGGCAGTAGCAAGTGCTTGTGCCACCTCGTTTCTTGTAGCTGGTTTTGTAGATAGAACATACTTTGCATTGACGCTGGCAAACACGCTCCACACCACCGTTCACCCTAGTATCGACAGACTGAACCAATGGGTGATCATGCGTCACAACAATAGATCTGTTCGCAACAGCCGGTGCTGCTTCACTCGCGGTCGTTCTTGTGAAACTGTTAGGGGTCTCGCGAATAAGGTGTTCGTGCAGAATAGTCATGTACTGGTAGTGGCTGTACGGTTTCTTGCTCTGCTTCCCAGCGTTGCACTTGTGCGTGATGTATCCATTTACCAGTGTCATGTTAACGAGTCCAAGGAATAAGCCTTTGTAGTACTTGCGGAATCTAAATCACAACACCGACAAGAACAGCATAAGCGTTTTAATCATATACCCACCCGACCAGCACAACGAACCTGCAAGACATCTGTATGGAGTAAGACTGAAGTCGGAGCTGGTCATGGCGGTCAACACCGCCCATATACTGCAGATATGTGCTTACCACACTCGGGCAAGGAACCGTCGTCGTTGTACTTCTGTTGCGTTCTACAATACATGCAGCTTTAGATATAAACATAGAACTATCAACACGCGCACAAAACTTACTGGTCGTGTTGATCCCAGGTGAAGGCGGTGAGGGCTCGTTCAAGACAAGTTGAATATTGTGACGCTTACAAAAGTCAAGGTCCGCATACACAAAGTCCAGCAAAGCATTCTCCCCGTGGAAGAAGTCCACTCCTTTCGTGCCAGTCTTTACATTGCATCCTGGTTTCACATAGTAAAACCTCATTCATAGAGCCATCACGGTTATTGTTGCTGTGCGGACTGTTTTACATGAATGCAAGATGACCTACCCACCGTCAAGGCCTTGGGCGCGAGCATGCGTCCACTTTTCGGAGCGCAAAAGCCGCCAAACTTGCTTGAACACCATCTTCCGTTGAGGGGTGAGTGGGTGGGGGATTCTTGATTGTATGGTGTACGGCATTTGCTGATTGTTTTTTTAAAATTTGAAATCATATGGTTAGACAACAGTACGATAAGCGTATTGTTAACCAATCACAACCATTATTGGTGATGATATTTGACCAATCATCCTGTTAAATCGATACATGAACTGAATGGAGCTGTTGTTTGCGGATTTAAACTATACTGAAATCAAGTCATGCAATACCTTCCTGTACAGCATAAAGAAGGACAAAAATGTCCGCCGTTGAGGGGTTAATGAGCATCTTTACAACTACAACATGAACGTTGATACGAAGGTTTTTTTTATGTTCCTATACTACTTCAGGACTACTTTTGAATCACAAGGATCCTAAGAGGGTAGGCTCTAACGATGGTTTTATCCTAAAAGTTGCGCAAATAAATCTATCGTAAAGTTTTATTGCCCCCACCCGTTGGTGGTATTATTAGTTTTAACTTCAGGAAGACCTATAATTCTGGTCCAAGGACTTGGTATAAAACCTCAGTTTAACGAAAGGAAACCTTCACTGACAGAAACTTGCAGTACGATGGGGAAGGGCTTAGCGTGGAGCGAGAGCGAGACCATACAGCTTTGCCTGTCGTGGCTGGAGGTATCGGAGGACGCAGTGCGTGGTGCAGGACAGAAGAAGAGCACGTTCAGCAGTCGCTTGTATAGCCATTGGCTGGAAAACAAGAGACCAGAAGACAAGGATCCACGAATGGAGGTCGCGATAATGGGACGATGGAAGAAATTGCAGCCAGAAGTAACGAAGTTCTGCGGTGTATATGCAAAGGGTCACCAGTAGAGAGAGCTCAGGATGGAATGACGCTATGTATCTGGACGCTGCGTTGAAGGTTTACCAAGATCGACACAAACAGCCGTTCGAGTTTCTTGCGGCGTGGAAAGAGCTCAAGGACAAGCCCAAGTGGACCAACAAGATCACATCGGCCTCATCTATTGGGGTCAAGCGAGGTTAAGTGATGTCGCGTCCGTGGAGAGACCAGAAGGCTGCAAAGCAGCAAAGGCGGCTAACGCCAAATCTAAGGGGAATCAAGGAAGCACTGCAGTCCATTCGATTGGGGGTGAAGCTCATCTCAGGTTCGTTGTTGCCACCGAAAAGAAGGTCGCTGTAATGGAGCAAAATCTCCATCTATCTATCTTCTTCCAGAATCCCGCCAGCTACGAGTCACAAAATTTTTACTATGCAGCGAAGAACCATCCTCCCATATTTCTCAATCCCGCTCGTTATTTGCTCTCCTGCCTTTGGTAGACCCGCCGTGTTTGCCCCGCACTGCGCTCGTGTTGTCCACCCCTCCCTCAGGTAACATGTAGGTGAAATAGTACTCTTCTTCCGAGTCGTCGTCGTCCATACTTGACGTCACCAGCGCTTCACTCCTTCGTGAATTTCTGGTAATTCTCTGGATATTTATATCCAGAGTCTTAGATGGGTTCGAGACCCCTCGAAGATCCTATATAAACAAATATTTTTCTGCTTGTGTAATCACTCAAATTTTACTTTCTTACAGAGGGTAAGATTAACCGACGGGATATTTGATGATATCTGATATTCTATGCGAAATTGGGTCAATGTTGACCCAACCGGTGAAGAACGACATTCGTGCGACCTGTCACTAAAGCGACAATCATTTAACAT